TGATCCCTGAGTTTCCCCACCCCCTCCTTTCCCTTGCTTCCCCCTTCCAGCTCCCTCCTCCCAGTTTTCCCCCTCCCCTCTCCCACCCTCTCTCTTCCCCTCTCCCAGCTCCTTTTCCCAGTCTCCAGGTATGTCTACACTACCACCCTAGTTCGAACTAGGGTGGTAATGTAGGCATACCGCACTTGCAAATGAAGCCCGGGATTTGAACTTCCCGGGCTTCATTTGCATAAGCCGACCGGCGCCATTTTTAAATGCCGGCTTGTTCGAACCCTGTGCCGCGCGGCTACACGCGGCACGGGCTAAGTTAGTTCGAATTAGCGCTGTAGTGTAGACATACCCAGGCAGTGTGGATTTCATTATTTTGCATTTTATAGTCTCTCTGAATTACAAAATTTGTTTGCAAGGACTTACCCAATAGCTGAACATTACAGGAACAGTAGAAAGGGCTTGCACAGTGACTCCTACAAAGAGGAACAAAAGTTTTTAAATATGAAAATGCAGATGATGTTTTAATCGTATGTCTGATCATAGTTTGCTCTCATGCATTACTTATGCACTATAGAGATTTGTCAGTCTACCTGCAGGAAGCAAATACATTCACAGGAGACAGACTAGAAAAAGCACATGGTTCTATAGAGCAGTGGTTTTTAATTTGTGATGGGGGGTAGGGGAGGACACTGCAGATTTTCAGAGAGGTCTGCACCTCCATACATTTTTAGGGGCCACAAATGAAAAAAGGTTGAGAACTACTGCTACAGAAGACAAAGGGAATTGTACATGATGTATTCAGGAGAAAACTAGGACCAAAAATGGGAAAAATAATATGTAGTGAGTCAGCCTAGCTCACCAAGCAAAACTGGGCACATGTGCAAAGGAAAGTACTTTTATGAGTGAATAGTAATTATTCATAACAGGATCTAGCTACTTAGCTCACTCATATAGATTTATACTTTTAGCCTTGGCAGTCCCCAGTTCAATTTCTGTTATTGGCCAAGGTGGCAGCTGTCACGTAAGTGGGTATTTGTATGGGATCTGAATGGCTATGGGCCACACATGCTTGGGATGAGCTTTCTCTGCCCAGACAAAGCATGTAACCCTCTGTTTACACACATACATTTGCCTTAATGTAGGATTATAAAACTTGGCATTTGGCTTTTAAAAATATTTTTGCTTGTCATAACAGTTTTCTTTAGGATCCCTTCAGTTCAGAGACAAAAAGCCCACAGCAGCATTCAGATGTGTGTCATCTATTGTTACATTTATCTATTAGTATTAATTTAAATACTTGTGCATGCTTATCACTCTTAACTTTTTCACTTTACTTAATTCTCCATACATGTATTTTGTCAATTAGAAAATATTTGAAGTCCCACTTAAGACAGAACAATATATATATTGGATTTGCTCCTCTCTGTGGCAACAAAAATTATTATGACAAATGCAGAAGCTTTGCATTCTCTAACAGCACCTTGAAATCAGTTACTTAAAAAAAAGAATGAAAATTATTTTTTCCAATGATTTTCTCTTTCTCTTGTTGCTGTGTTAATGATCCATGAAAACAACAGGAAAAATTTACTCCAATCTTGCAAAAATTGGTTGAGAGCTAACTATATGCTAGTGCTTGCAGGATTGGCATAACTCAATACATAAGGGAAATAGTTAAACAGAGGGCAACATGCTGTTTAATACATACTAAGTTTTTAAATACACTAAGCTGCTTAATAAATACCCGAGAAAAAACAGAGAACATATATTTTACCCCTCATTTCTTTCCCTTTTACTAATCTTACATATTACTTGAAGTTACTTTACACCAGGTAAATCATTTTCATACTGAAGTGTGAATTTTAAGTTGTCAGTGTGTCTTTGTTATGTAATAATTAACCAGTGGGAACAGAGGGAACAGGAATCTGGATTCCTTTAGGAAGCAGATTAAGTAGAGTCACCCACTTTGCTAGTAAATCACTCTTCAGTGAGTATCATTTTTGCTTCTTGTTTCCTCATACATGAGCCCTTGTTTTGTGCCCTCAAACATGAGCCCTTGTGTTGTGACTGAGACCCTTGTAGGGTTGTGTTTTCAGTAAAGAGCATGTAATGATGTGAAGTCTCAGAGAGGTAATCATGTTAGTCTATAACTATTAGCCTAGACCTGCATTTCTTAAACTGTGGGTTGCGACCCCCATGGGCAGGGCTCGATGATCGCGGCAAAAACCACTCGCCAGTCCCGTACTGCGCTTGCGCGAGACCTGCACTGCGCATATGCAAACCGCCAGTGAACGGGGCGACTGGCTGAAATCTACTCGCCATGGGTGAGTAGATAAGTGGATTTGTCAAGCCCTACTCATGGGGGTTGCGAGCAACTTATGGTGGGGTCACAGCTGGATCTGGTTTTTTTTTTAATGTAAAAATTTGTGTCTCCCCGGCATCTCAGTTGCCAGGTGTTTGGTTTTCACCCAGACCACTGCCGCGTCTGGTAGGGACGGGGGAGTGAGGAGAGCCACAGAGTCTAGTGAAGGGGGGGCAGGAGGGGACTGTTGCCGGGCGCCATGCTAGAAGGGCACTGTGCTGGATGGGAGCAGAGCGCGCACTGCTTTGGCCCACGTAACCAGCAGAAACCGGAAGCTGGCCATGTGATGCCTCCTCTACAAGCTGAGAGCTGAGGCATCCGGGCTGGGCGGTGGGAGCAGCCACTTTAAAAGTAAGATTGTTCCTCTGTGCCTGGCTCTGTGGGGAGGAGGGGGATGATTTGATTGGCACGAAAACTGATGCTGAGGATGCCTGCCTTAGGAGGAGGGGGGAGTGCACTGGGATGGGTGGGTGCTAGGAGGGACTGGCTCTGAGGCAGAGGTGAGTGGATGGGGATGGGGAGACTGGGGGGCATGGCTCAGGGGGAGGGGTGGGTACATTGGTGGTTAGTGTGCAGTCCCAAACTGGACAAAGTGGTGCAACTTTTGCTTAACAACTTTGGTTTCCACCTCCTTCTTTTTTTTTTTTTTGCTTAACAGCTTTGAAGCAGTGAGGGTGGGGGGTCACACAAATTCATTTTGGACTTTAGGGGGTTGTGGTATCACAAAGTTTGAGAACCCCTGGCCTAGACAGTCTCTATAACAAACGATTAATGGACACAAATCAGATATTCAAAATGGTAGCACAAAGAAACCTTTTGGGGAACATTTAAACTTGCCCAGGCACTCATTAATGGACCTAAAAGTGACTATACTCTTAGGGTATGTCTACACAGCAAAGTTATTTTGGAATAATGACCGCTATTCCGAAATAACTTTGCGAGTGTCTACACAGGTAAACCGCTATTTCAAAATTATTTTGAAATAGTGGACGGCTTATTTCGAATTCTGTAAACCTCATTCTCCGAGGAATACCTCCTATTCTGAAATAGCTATTTCGGACTAGGAGCTGTGTAGACAGGGAATAGGGGTTAAATCAAAATAGGGACCTCCAGCCCTTCCCAGGGTGCCCTGGTGGCTTCTCTGGCCACAAACAGGAAAACTCTATCACCAACCCCCCCCCCTCCCCCTCAGCCCTTAAAGCTGCACCCTCTGCAGGCAGGGTTTGTGGCTCTCAGCAGGCCTGACAGCCCTAAGCCACACTGAGCATCCTATGTAGCCAATTTTCCCCTTTATATAGACACATTATGGATGTTCTTGATATTTTGCTTCTCTCTTTACTCCATAGTGGGAAAACATAAACGTCTTGATCTGACTCACATACATTCTCCAACAATGTTCTAGGGAACACTTTCCATGTCTTAAACAGACTATTATTGTTTCTTGTTCCAGTCACATAAAGTGGTTAAATCCCATTATTGCCTTCTTCTTAACAGAACCATATTTTACTGTACAGAAGCTTATTTATCTTTACCTATTTATCCTTTCCTGCTACAGTGTTTGAAGAGAGAGCAAACAATTGTTTAATCAGTTTCCTCACAACAGTTTATTAGAAGGTTGCAAGCTAGGTTTTCAACTGCTGGAACAGCAATGGTTAACAAGGTGAATGGTTTCTTTCTATATGCTGGTTTCTTTCTATATTGGCTCTTATATTGATGCATAGTTCCATAGCATTTGATACCACTCGTCATTTGGAATGCTATCAAATAGATTTAGCAAGAATGGCACTTGTTTTGGAAGAGATCATAGTCATCTGATTGTATGCAGTTTGCCTCTCCTGTCATTCTTTTCCCAGTGTCTCATGGGACCATAATATTGTTCAGCCATTGCCTGCTATTTTGCAGTTAATTATCCATCTTTCCTTCTTTATGAGATTCACGGAAAGATCATTTCCTCTGCTTCCACTACCTGATCAGCTTGTCTTAAATACTGGGTCACAGATGTCCAAGGATTTTTAAATATTAATTGCTACAAAAATTGAGCTATGGTTGGTTTCTGACACTCTTATATCACTACATAAATGAGTTTATAATTAATTTTTGAAAAAGTATTTCCCCCTTTCCCCATTCTTTTCTGAAAAACTATTGGTTCATCAGTGAATCACTATTGACATTCCAGAATGCACCTTTGCTGTGGCAGGCATCTCATTGCAATCCATGGTATTATTATAAAGCGATACATTATGCCTCTTCACTGAGGCAGAAAAGACCAAGAAGATTTCATAGAGGGAAAAATATTAAAGGAAGTTTAGTTAAAATTGATATTTGAGTTCAGTGCCAACTACAGTCTGGCTAGTGTGGCATTTGGACTACAGGTATGACTTAACTCAGTTTTCACATGGGCTTTGCAGTTTACAATTAAGTAAATAGTTCAATAGGGCCTAATTACAGAGCTTAAATTAATGACACCTTACCCTGCTGGTTACCAGATTTCTTTAACTGAGAGAAACTCTGCATTTTCCCTCTCAAATTGTGTCATTTTTGGTGGTTAATTTTTAGGGCCGTGATCTATCCTCAGTTTTTCTTACTCAAAATTGTGTTTGAAGTCAATAGTTGCAGCTCCATGGATGGAACAGGAATAAGAAATGGCCTGTAATTATTATTCTTTGAGAAACTCACTGGTGATTAAAGGTGACATGCAAAGCACATATAAATATATTTGTCTCTTAGTTTGCTTCTTTGTGAGGTATAAAAAAATTCCTGAGTTCATTTTTGAATGTATTATTTTTAAACCTTAAAAACATCAGGAATATAGCACCTGAATTCTCTTCTTTGGGTCTCCAGACTACAGTTTTATTCACCATTGAATTTTGTCTAATTTAAGATAATTTGTATATTTTTGGACCTTGAGTTTGTGCATTTGATTTTTTTGAAAAAATGTTTCACCTTAATAATAAAAAGGTGAAGAACTATATTCAGACTTTGAAATCTGATACATTTTTGTGCTCTGGATATCAATATCTTTTGATATTTTTCTAAAACGTGTCTTTCTAGATCTTGCTTTTTGTTTTGTCAGGAATCTCTTTATTATACTTTCTCCCCTTCCCCCCCTCTCCCGACAAATGCAAATTAAGAGATTGCCATTGTGCTTTCCTACATGAACCTGTTCCCTTAGTGCTCATTTCTGTGGACTTTTCTGGCACGATTTGATATTGTTATGGCAGGAATCACCAGCTGGTGCTATTATGCATAGTTGTATAAATTCTTATTCTTAATGCATGAGCACTGTTCAGTCATTTGAAGAAATGCTGCATTGTTAGTTTTGTAGTATAATTTATTTTGGGGAAAGCTAGTGCAAATAACGGGATAATTTGCTCTCTCCCATTGGAACAATTACCAAGGATTATGCTTCTCCACCACTGTTTAAATCAAGATTGCATGTTTCTCTGAAAGATGTGCTTTTGGAATTATTGTGGAGAAGTTCTATGGCATGTGTTATACAAAGGGCTCGACAAATACACTCGCCCGCTCGCCCGTGGCAAGTAGATTTTGCTTGCTGGCGAGTGCAGGGGCGGACTGGCCCGGTGGGCCGTTGTAACGGGCTGGCCAAAGCCCGCACTACGGGTGGCACAGCCCCATCCAATCTGCCAGCCAGTGGAGGAGCAGAGTTCTGCCGAGGAGGGGAAACTGTGGCGATTCTCAGCGCCGGGCTACCTGCGTGCAGCTGCGGCGCGAGGAGGCCACGCCGATTTTAAAGGACCACAGCAACTCGGCTCTGGCTGCGTGTCCCCAGCAGCTGGCTGTGGCGCACGGCACAGCCAGGCCCCACCCCGCCCAGCCAGGGTCTGCCCCGCCGGCTCCAGTCCTGCCACGGCCCCAGCCCCTTGCCGGCGAGAGACCGCTCCCTGCCGACCGCCCAGCTTGCTGCACCCGCCCCGCGCCCCATCTGGCTCCCGCCACCCATTCCCCACGCCGCCTCTGCACCCTGCACCCCAGATCGCCTGCTCTCCCTCTGGCTCTGCGCCGCCCTTGGACCCAGCACCCTGCTCCCCCCGATCCAGAATTCTAATCTGTAATTTTAAAGTACTTGCAATCTCTCCTACATTTGCATCCATTTAGAATCATACTCTCCACTCTGTTATCCAAGTCATTAATGAAAATATTGACTAGTATATGACTCAGAACTGCATGAGATAAGTTTTCTATCAAACTGAGAGGACCTATTAGAAGGACTCTTTAAGTATAGGTTCTCAACCTATTATGCACTTACCTTACAGTATTTTAGACCAACATTTCCCTTGTTTGATTAAGAAAATGTCCTGTGGGACTTTGTCAAAAGTGTTATTAAAATTAAGTAAGCCATATGTACTCCTTCCCCTCATCCACCAGGCCAGTAACTCTGTCAAGAAAGAAATTAGGTTGCTTTGGCCTACTTGTTCTTAAGTAATAGCCAATATGGATTTGTTATCATCCTATTATCCTCGAGGGGCCTACAAACTGATTGTTTAATAATTTGTTCCATTATGTTCTCATATATTAGACTGATGGTATATGATTCCACAGAACATGATTCTTTGTTCCCCTTTTTTAAAGATAGATACCATATTTGCCCTTCGGCAGTCCTCTGTGATGTCATCCATGATCCATGATCCATGAGTTTTTGAAGATAACTGCATGCGCCTAATGATACACACTAGTGGTCCTTTTGAAGATAAACAAAGTTAGGCATGTGCTTTCTGGATCAGAGCCTCTTGTCTCATCTGATAACTTAATTCCGCTAATTCTTCAGTTACTCGCAGTCACCCAGCAAAACCATGGTAGACAGTACAATGCAAAAATAAACTTAGCAGAATTTCCCTTTCCATTTCCCTTTCCTAATATAACCAAAACTGAGAAAGAGCTCGAACACATTTTTCTCCTTTATAGGCCACTTTTAAAACCAGGAATTCATGTTCTCCTTTTGGGCATGTCTGGGGAGTTATTTCGAAATAACAAGGCAAGCATCCACATTACCAAGCCTATTTCAAAATAATAGGCTTGTTATTTTGAAATAATAACACCTGCTTGTGAAGAGGAATAAGCTTATTTCAAAATAATTATTTTGGTAGTTATGACACCCCTGTGACGGGGCGACCCAACTCCGCACTAGCCAAGGGGAGAGCAAACTCACCTGCTGGGCTGGGAGGCCCCTCCCCTGCAGCAATGCTGGGCATGCTCCAACTGCGGGCCAGGTATAAAGGCTAGGGAGACAGCTCAGTTGAGGCAGACCTCAGGAGAGGAAGGAGCTCCTGCCCGAGCTCTGGAGCAGCTGCCGCCACCCTAGCTGCCGTCGTGTTGGTTCCTAAGCCTAACAGGTTGGTACGGTTTTGTGTTGATTTCTGAAAAGTCAACGCCATATCATGGTTTGATGCTTATCCAATGCTCTGGCTGAACGAGTTGCTCGAGCGAATAGAAAAGGCCAAGTACATTTCCACACTAGATTTCACAGAGGGGTATTGGCAAACCCCCATGACCTCTGTTACAAAAGAGAAAACAGCATCCCCAACCCCCTTTAGGCTGTACCAGTTCACAATGATGCCGTTCGGTCTTCATGGAGCCACTGCTACGTTCCAGGGCCTGATCAACCAAGTCCTGCACCCGCATGACGGGTATGCGGCTGCCTACATTGACAACATCGTGTATAGCAGGAACTGGGAGGAGCACCTTCAACATTTAGGAAAGGTGCTAGAGTCCCTGGGAGAAGCTAAGTTGATGGTGAATCCAGCCAAGTGCCACCTAGGCAAATGAGAGGTGACATATGTAGGGTACACCATGGGAAAAGGGAGAGTAAAGCCGTTAGTAGACAAAGTTCAGGCTCTCAGACCATCCCTATTACAAAGAGGCAGGTGAGGCAGTTTTTAGGGCTGGTGGGGTATTACCGCAGATTCGTGCCCAACTTTTCCGCCTTAGCTGCCCCCGTGATGGATCTGACCAAGAGCCAACGGCCTCAGGGTCCGCGGCGTGTGAAGAGGCCTTCCAGACCCTGCGAGACTAGTTGCTCCGAGAGCTCAGCCTGACTTTTCAAGGCCATTCATCCTCCAGAGTGATGCCTCTGAGATAGGACTGGGAGCTGTGTTATCTCAAGAAATGGATGGAGAGGAGCACCCGATTGTTAACCTCGGCCAGAAGTTATATCCCCGAGAAACCAGGTACTCAACAATTGAATGGGAGGCCCTGGCAGTAAAATGGGCTGTTGAAGCCCCTCAATATTACCTGCTGGGTGGTTCTTTTCTCTTAGTTACTGATCATGCCCCACTCAGGTGGCTACAAACTATGAAGGACACCAACACCCGAATAATGCGCTGGTACTTGTCACTGCAGCCTTACTCCTTTTAGATGGTCCATCGGCTAGAGAGGGCACACACGAATGCAGATTTCTTCTCCCAGAGTGGCCCAGCAGGGTGAGGAGGGGGGGAGAATCCACCGGGGAACCCCTCTTAAGGGGGGGTGATAGGGTGGCCCAACCCCACACTAGCCAAGGGCAGAGCAAACTGGCCTGCTGGGCTGGGAAGGCCCCTCACCCACAGCAGTGCGGGGCATGCTCCAACTGCGGGCCAGGTGTAAAGGCCAGGGAGACAGCTCAGTCAGGGCTGACCTCCGGAGAGGAAGGAGCTCCTGCCCGAGCACTGGAGCCGCTGCCACCTGAGCCAGAGCCGCAGGCCCAACCCATC